CCCTTTACTCCTAAACAGTACCATACTGTGCTGCAGCTTGGTAGGGACCTGCTAAAGACCATTCAACTCAGCAAGGTGATGCTGCAAAATTTATGACTCATTAAAATGGGTGTATTGCCTCTAGACTAAGCACCTCTATCATATCTCTCCTGAGACTTGAGTTGACACTGGAAACAGACTGAGCAGTGCACAGGTTTTACATAACAGAATTCCTGAAGGTCATCCCCTAGAGACAACAGTACAAAAGATATTTTAATCCTTTGATGCAAACTAGATAATTCACAAAAAAAAACCAAAACATGAAAGGGGACAAGGAGAGTGTTTTGCTTTTGTTCATAAAAATACGTGCTGGAAATCATCCTGTATGGGATGAGAAACATCCCAGTACAGCGTAATTGTTAGTTGTAAGGATCAGGTCCATTGACACAAAGATATGTTCAGAATGTGATCACTGACCAAAACACACTCTAAAATCATTGGTGGTTTATATTATTTCTTATGTTGCCACTGGTCATGTTGCATTGTATAAGAGATTCAGTTTGGAATATACATTGCTTCCTTTCCAGCAAGAAAAAGACGAATTTAACATCGAAGTGGATCTTGCTGCAGTGAACTTATTATCAATAGTGCACGAGGCACAAACATCCAGTGAAAAGGTCTAGTCTCTTAACCCTGGCCCCTTGTAATATCTGACAGCAAAGAAAGGATTGTAAAGGCTATCTCTTTGTGAGGTCTGAGTCTTTGCAAGACTCACAGAACTTGGAACCCTAGATTTGATGGAGGAAAAGCACTTCGATGGAGAAAAAGCACTTCGAGTGACGTTCTGGGGAATGAGCAGTTCGCCAAGTGCAGTAGCAGCCTTGCTATGCTTCTCTTCTGTCTTCCTGGCCTTACCCATTCCATTTTAGGCCAGGTTCAGAAGCATCAGTGCAGGAAAGGGCCCACTCAAACTTCTGTAAATATTGCTTGAGTTGGGAGCTCTCAGAATACAGCAGTATTGCCAGACGAAGAAAGACACATTTCTGGGAAACAATCCCATCAGCACCTCACCCCAGAATCTCAGGAAGATCTGTCTCCTAATTCAGATTCATCTTTAGCTCAGATTAAGTCGAAAGCTGAACCTGAACAAACAGTTTCTAGGTTGCAAGACAAAGTTATGACAGGCTCCATAGAAGACTGCTGCTCAGAAAGGCACAATAAAATGCTTTTATCCAGCAGGACAATTAAGTACTACTAAAATGGCAGGGAGGCAGGTGGCACATCCAGCCATTCAACTAGAGAAACACAGTCTGACATCCAGAAAAGAAATTACTCATTCTTTTTCTTCCAGTCAGGTTCCTATAGTCCCATATACCTTTGTCCACTGCAGCACTTTGTGATAAGAATACATTACACTTATCCCAGTCCTTCCAATGAAAATTCTGTCTGCTTCATTAGGTTGTGAATTTTTTATTACTGGAAAGAAAAAAAAAACCCACATTTTAAAAAATTTACTTGTAAATGCAGTTTTGAAGAAATTACACATTTGAAAAACACGGTCATTGTGAAAATATTAAATACACTTTTGAAAATATTTGACATTAAAAGCAGTAACTTCCTAAGTCTTAATACCAGAAGTAGTGTAAATAACTATAGTTTATTCAGACACTATTTCATACTAGTCTGATTCATCCAATAAGATGCTTGGACATGCAATGGCATAATTCAGTAACATTATTATTTGTAAAGTTTTGCGTTTTCTGGCACCATGAGGAAACGTTGGCAATTACAGAACTGAGTAATTACAAGTTTTTCCAATCATATTATACAATCGCCTTGGAAGCACTGTTAGTATTCTAAAGCAGTGGTTTCCAAAGTGGGGTGTGAGCATGACAATCCATTCAGGTGTGGAATGAAAATATTTTTTGTACCATTAAAAATAAAATATTTTTAAAAGTAGAGTTTTATTTCATCTTCATATCATCTTTTTAATTTCTATTTTTGTGTATATTTTATAATGTACTTAATATATTAGTGCAGTAGTACATGTATGCAATTTATAAATAAATAAACAAACTGAGGGTAAGTTTTTTACTGATAGAGGTTCCTGTCAGTTTGGAGACCACTGCTCTGGGGAAGTATAGACTAAGTTCCAAGCCCTACTAAAATCTTCTGTCTGTGTCACAACTGGAAGCTGTGATAGCTGTTTTATAATATGAAAGTCTGTGGTCAGAAAGGCCATGTGACATATCTGGAACAAATATTCATCATGTTTTAGTAGTTAATACAGGTTGAAAAAGATCCAAGTCATTCTTTATAAAACATTTTAATATCTCACTGACCCTTCACTGAGCCTCTGTTTCCTGCAAACTCATTAGGAAGAATGACACAAATATGTAAAAGAAGAGGCATAAGGAGGAAAGGGCTAAGAAAACCTGCCAGAACTAATAAAAAACTAGAAGGTGTTCTGTGGACCCAGTCCTTGCAGAAATTCTTTGTTCTTTAGAGAATGAAATAATTCTCAAAATCCAAATTATTTAAAAAAAATACAAACTATATACATGATGTAACCCTGTTCAATGTGTTCTGAAACATACAAATATATGTATAGCTGTATTTACAGCTCTGAAGTTTATTTAGGCTATTAAAGTGTGACACTTCACATGACAATACTTAAATAAGTTTGCCCTTGTCTTGAGAAACGGACATTCTTATTAAAAGACCATCAATTTTGGTTTCTCTTCTTGATTTCACAAAGCTCAAATGTTCTTCTTTCTGAACTTTAAGTGTAAGCACTGTGGATTTTACTTCTACTGGAAAATGGCTTGTATTGAGCATGTTAGCTTAATGTATTTGCACCTCAAGAAATTCTGAATATTGTAACATATAACATCAACTAATATTCAGAAAACAGTGTCAGAATTTGGTTTTTTACCTCTTTTAAATTAAAACTCTACAAGAATAGGAATGAACAAAAAGCATTTCTTGCATCTTAACTTTACCTGCATCAGCAAAATCACAAAAAGGAACTCCTGGTCTGTCTGTCTCAGAATCTCTGGTTAGTATTTTGGCAATACATAAAGACAATTTCTCAAGATCATCAAAACATTCACATCCAGTTCTTGCACTAATATACAAAGCTCCCAGCTTGGTCCAATCGCTTTTTTCCTTGCAATGCTGTGAAGAAGGCAAGAGAGAAATGTAAGCGAACCTGCTTCCAGAACATCAAACAGAAAATATATTGAAATTCGAGAGATACACCTGGGATAGACATAAAGCAGAAAAAAGATGCAAATGAAACGCTACTGCCAAGAAACTCTATGTTCAACACGGCACAGTTAACATACTGCCTAACTTGCATGGACTGTTAATCACTTTTGTCCCTCAAGAAATTAAAATCCTTTTTCCATTTATCTTGATCTTAGTTGGGGAAACTCGTAAGTTATTCGTCCCATTTAAGAACTGGTATTCATCCACTATTTTACTAACTTTTTGTTGTTGTTGTTCACAATGCATGACAAATTGATAGTTACTTTCTATACGAATTAAGTCTTTTGCTTGCCACATCATTTGATTACTTCGGTTTTAAAAGAGTAAAATAACAGTCCTGCTGTTCCCCTCTTAGATTTTGGTCTCAGGACCTGTGCAGTAAGTGTGATAATATGTGAAATGTATTATAATTGTGCATAATAGGTAATCTGCCCTTGAATGTGAAAGATGCAACTGTCCTATTAAAGAACTTGTTATAATCTTTTCCTATTCTTTAAAATACCTGCTTAGTGTTGCCAATTATAGCCTTTTACAATTATGCCCTTTTAAACTAGGTATGAATTCTATCTGCTAAATAATATATTAAATATTTTTTTTAGGAAGAATGATGTACCACTACCAATTACAAGCACAATAATGTCAGGCATAGGAAATAATTGCTTAAAATTATAAAATCTTTGAATTAGATGCAAAACCAAGATAAAAAGTACAAGCACATAAATGAGAAAAGCCAAAGACGGTTTTCTCCTGCGTGCTAATCTTTCCCAAACATGGCTTTGCATAAAACTATTTTATCATAATCTCAACATACTTAATAATAAAGCCCACTAATTTTAAATGATGTAGAAATTGCTATTTCTTGTAGGTTTAAAAGACGTCATGGTTTAAATATTCCAACGGGCTTGAAGAATGCACAGTGTACCTGAATTTCAGCCACTGCCAAGTTGAAGTCAAAAAGCCAGTTCTTTTCAAAATATGTTTCCTGAAATCTTCCATAAGAACAAAATATTAATACTTAATTTTAACACATCCTGTTGAACTAAACTATGCACTAGCAGAAGGTGATCAACAAATTATCACATATAAACTAAAAATTGATGTGATTTTTAATCCTATTTACCACAAACCATGCAAACTGGACACTGACAACATACAATCATGCCAAGGGAAGTCAGTAGATGTATTAAGGAAATAATTGAGCAGAGTTATTTTCGCAGAAAATATTCCTTGTCTCAGTAGAAATTTAACTGCAAAGGTATGAATAAGACTTGCAATTCATTAAGTAAATGCAGAACTGTATTGCATGTATTTCTGACATAAAGGCAAAAAAAAAAAAATTAATTACATGAAAGAAAGTGCTGTTTGGCTTCAAATACCTAGGAGCATAATACTGTTTTCTGATGCCACCACTGAAGCAACGGATACATGCTACCTAGGCATGAATGAGCTGACACAGGGAGTTGAAGTAGCACAGTTGCTCAGTCTTCACAGATACAGACTGTTCCTCCGTTTGTGCTGAAAACACATACATACTGAGGCAACCTGGAAGGGGTCACTCCTTTGTGAATTAGATTACTAATAAAAATTACCTCCAACATGTGTGGTAAGTTGCACTGGTAGAACACTAAGATCCATGGCTGAAAGGTACTTTTATGGGAAAAGTATGAAAAGCAGCAAATAATTTCTACGGTGCTTTCACTTGAAACAGCAATGGCTTGTTTTCACACAGTAGATGTGGCATATTTGGTTTCCTCCAAGAATCAAAAGTTGCTTTATGAAGTACAAACTCGTTTCTGAACTTGTGTGTGTGTGTGTGTGATGCACATGACGAAAAAAAAGGATCACATCTTGTGCAAGTGATGAGGAGACAGAAACAGTTTTGAAACAGATCTGGGCTGTGATTTTACATTTTGACCAGCACAATCCAGCAGTACTTAAAAAAATGACCCTGCTCCCTAGCTGTGTTGGCACAAGTGTTTATGCAGTCGCACAGTAAATGAAACTAGAAAACTTAAGATTATAACTAATCCTCTTACTGTCTAGAAGAGTTGTTCATTGCAGATGTACTGGTTGCTTATGCAGGCCTAAATATTAAGCCATGACGTTTCTAATTTGACTATGGTTATATAAACTTGTAGCACAGCTGGGAACAGATTATACAATGAAGATCAATATGGAAAAACTAATCATAACTGTGGTCAGAATCTAAGTTTTGACTTAGCAATCCTTGGTCTTTGAAGCACAGTAGATTGACAGCACTTTAAAATACAACTAGGCATAACATGATAATATTTTCATCCAAAACACTGAGTTTGCATTTTCTAATTGTCTTTTACAGTTTTACATAAATTTATAAAACTAGAACCTGAAGAAGGAACTAGATAGATATCGTTATAAAACAGGTCCTTAAAGACATACCTGGATTTTATGCTCAAAACAGTATTTATTTCCTGACTGGAAACTTGTAATTTGTGAAGGAAATTAATAATACAGTCAAAATGTTCAAGCTCAAGGAACATACCAGCATCAATGAGCTGTAATATCAAACACGGGGAAGAAAAGTAAGCATACAAAAAATTTTGATCACTTATGTATTTCCAGAGGCAAGTTGCAAACAACAGCGGGAAAAACATGTCATAGTGAATCTCAGTAAAAAAATAAGGGATAAATGGAAACCTGTACCACAAATTAGAGCTAGTCACAATATAACTTTTAAAACCAGTACTGAAATAATATTAAAGTGACATATATGAGTTTTAAAACAGCAAGGCATTTCAGAAATTCCAAGAAGTAGCAGTAGTACAATCAAACTCCTACCTTATAAAAGGTACTGATTAATGTAGGCACAGCGTCTCTTATATTCAAAGAAGCCACATGCTCAAAAACTTTCAGAAGAACATCTACAGCGGGCTAATTTAGACAAAAAAGCACAATCAATTTTGAAATGCTGTTCAATTAGAAAGTTTAGAGTTTTTATAATAGTAACTTCTGAACGGCTCTTTTTCCCCCAAGATCTGACTATCAGAGTAAAATAAACTTACTACTACAAATGACATAGTACTCAAAAAACTAAGAAACTACGGATCAAAGATTTTAAAAATATTACAAGGTCACCTACCAGTGTATTGATTCGTACAGTTACATTCAATATCTGAAATACTTCCCACAACAAACAGTTCTTGAGCAAAGAAATGAGAAGATCATTCAGCACTTGGGAAGAAAAATCCACACCAGGAGTAACTTCTCTGTAATATTTCACAAATATTTGGACTGAAAAAGCAATTAAATGAATTTGACTTTGGGGTAACTGATGCTAAGTATTTAAACTTGTTATTTCTTTAAATTTTAAATGCAGTGTAACAACACTTAATTATCTAGGATATTATAGGACAGGGATATGGAGAAAAATGGGTGAAAGGATCCAGTTTGAATACAGATTACTAGACCCAGACTATTATATCTCATGTCATTGAGCTGAACACAATAAGCCCCGCAGGTTTCAAGCAAGCTTAGCTGATGTGGTGCAGCACAAGAAAAATGCACAAAACCAGGTTAGATTTGGTAAGCACATCAAGGTAGTACAGCCTTTCCAGACCGGAAGCTCTAGGAAATGCAGTGCAGTGTTATCATGGTGGATGGTCTTACAACCTGTACCAGTGCTAACCTTGGTAAGACACGTACTGGAGCCTGCTGGTACCCAGTGTTATCTGCATTACAATGCTCAGTGTTTCAGCATGGGAACATTACTACACAGGATGCAACTGGATCCCACATTCACATTATGCTACACTCTAATTTTGAAAACACTTAACACTGCTCAGGACAGGTACAAAAGGAACGACTGTCCAGAGTAAAATTTAAGCCCTTTCTGACTGAACTCAAAAGCTCAGATGGATCTGAACCAACTACTGTCCCTAAAATGTGTTAATTGTACTTGTTTGCATATTCGGTAATGCTAAAGGACTAAACTAAAGCTCTTAGGGTGCTGTAATAGCACTTCATTTTAAGAGCTTAATTCTGAAGTTTTTGGATTTGTGATGTTTGGCCAGGGTGTTTTAAAGTGCCTTAAGAAAATTTTGGTTCTGCTAAACCTTCCCCCTGCCCTAGTTACCCATTTCTACTCTCAATTCTAGTTCCATTAGGGTTCATTTTCCATGGAAGTAAGTCTTACAACAACCTCCTGAGATAACTGCGTATCTCAATACCTAGGAACATGAAAACACATGAATTGGATGTATTCCTTTGAAATCAGAACTTATTCACCGTTGAAGTGGCACCCATTTCTCTCCTGACAGCCTATTTAATTTGCTTTATAATAAGCTAAGTATCAAAGATACATCAAATGCTAATACTATATCATACCTGCACGTTTTAGAAGGCCTGATTCTTTGACACTAATATATGTCCTAAGTATTGCCATGCAAATCTAGAAAAAGAGAAAAAAAAAATCTTAGTTAAATGGTACCACAGTTTATGACAAAAAAAAAAGAAAAAAGAACTACCCACAAACATGAGTTTCTTAAGGAAACAGCTTTACCTTGCTTCTATTTAAAACATACATACAGACAAATGGTATAGGAAGGTAATTGAGTCTGTGGCAATGGCACTGTCAAAAGGACAGCAAATGAAATAGAAAAATAATGCAGATGAAATATTTGGAAAAGCAGCTGCTGGGACTACAACTGCATGTGTATGTGTATATACTCACAGCAAACAAAAAAAAGAATTTGAAAATACGGTTACTTAGGAATTAGTATAAATGTGGCAGATGGTAAACAAACTGAGAAAGGAAAGCAAAAAGGTGAAAGTGAAAACATGAGAAACAAAAATTACATGAACGTATCAATTAAGAAGTCAAAAAATCATCTAGAAATGAAGTTAGTAACACTGGTCATCACACAGAATCACCCAGGAGGCCAGAGCAGAAAAAAACTCAGAACTAACTTGATTTAATGACCCATTTCACCTCAGACTCACTTGATTAAAAAAAAAAAAAAATCCATACATAGATATTTGAATATATTATTTCGTACTGGAACACTTTTGTCTTAACATCTTAAGCTGTCAGCTTTGTGATACTTACATCTTGCTCCATCTCTGCAGATGAGGAAATAAAGACTACTGAGATTAAATCTTAGAATTCAAAGTTAAGAAAAAAAACCCACCCACCCTTTCAGATACCCTTTGTCACCTCTGGAACATTTACAGTCTTTCTGCACAACAATGCAAATGGGTCATATTTAATACTATTTTTTGAAATAATGAAAAATGAAGAGACAGAAAATGCCCTAAATTAGTAGTCATGATACTACGGAATCGAGTGAGGTTTATTTTTACATGCAACTTCAAAATTAGACAAGATTCACCCATGGAGTTTGTTACACAGCAAATAAGTTATCACCAAAGCAGAAGATACTGGCTTGTGGCCAAGACATCTTTCTTTTTTTAAAACCATTAACCTGTTCAGATCATCAAGTCAAAGAACACAAAAATTGAACATGTATGTTGAATATAAATAAAGATTATTATTTTTATTTTGAAACTGTGTCATAATGTTGTTGAACCATAGTCTAAGATTTACCTTTCAGAAAATCATGTAGAATCTTTGATCATTAATATATACGCAGTGTCACTTGGCAATGGGTTAACTCATTTAACCCAAATCTATAATCCCAGGTGGCTGAGGGCATTTCCAAAACAAACTTCAGCATATGCTTACAGTATGTAAATTAGTTTGCTTTCTTTTGGAATCTGTTTTCCTCCTTCTTTGGACTGACTCCCAAAAAAAGCCAAGATTGCATCTGGAGCTCTGACTGTTCCAAGTATTAGTGAAATTGCTTGGAAAATCCAGTTGTAGTAGCATTTAACTATGGGAGACATTACATCACATTCATAAAAGAAACTAAATGTGTTATTCATTTACAGTTTCTAGGGGGCTTCAGTTGATTTAGTTGTTTCAATTGTAAAAGGTGTAACTGAACCTACAGATCATATAAAAATGTGAGAATCTCTAAATTTTGAGTTAACCATAATGGATTTCAATTGAAGGTAGATGAAAGAGAGAACTCACATTTTCAAAAGGTAGTACGGATCACACTGTCAGTTGATTCCACAACTTATTTAACGTGATAATTTAATAAAAGCCATAACAAAGGACTGTGTATCTTACACAAGCAACAGACTGCCCAGTAAAAGACAGTTCTACTACCATAACACAGAGGTGCTTACAACCGTTCTACTACAGTAACACAGAGGTGCTTCAGTCAGAAGAACAAGCATCAGAATTTATTAAATCCTTCAGCATCTCCCAGTCAGTGTGCACTCTGATATTTATTAAGTGGGAAAACCCTATGCTGCAGCCCTTCACTCAGCGAGATTAAAACCAGGACCTTTTTTACCAGAGATCCTGGTTATGAACCCTGTAACATCTTTGAGTCACAAACTCCATACTAAATGTGGCTGAAACTGACCAAGATATTAAAAAAATAATTTAAAGGTGGTTAGCGACAGTGATAAAAGGGCAGGGCAACTTTTAAGTCTCATTTCTTTAGGAAGCCAGATTAAAAAACCAAAAACCAACACAACAGAAGCATACACCCGCGGCCCTGAAGTTGAAAGACAATGTTAACAAAGAAAAAAATCTTGCTATTTTACATCCTGTTTGTTTTCAGTTAGAGGTTCACACAATCAAGGGAAAAGACAATAAGAAGTCACAAAAAGTAAACATTTCTTTAGTGGCTACAGCATGAGTCCAAAAAAGTTAATAAGCAAGGTGCACAAAACTAAGATAAAATCAGATAAAGAAATAGTTTGCATAAAGACATGTTTTCAAACCACTTACTTGTTGTAACTGTGCAATTATTATCTATCCTACAGTCTGAACTGTCATTCAAGCCAATACTACACATTACACATATTTTGGTAAAAACCTAAGCAGAATCACAGAATAGCTGAGGTTGGAAGGCATCTCTGTAAACCCTCTAGTCCAACCCCTCTGCTAAAAGCAGGGTCGAATAGCCTAGGTTGCTCAGGACCAAGCCCAGTCAGCTTCTGAATATCTTCAAGGATGGAGATTCCACAACCTCTCTGGCCAGTCTGTTCTAACACTCGACCACCCTCACAGTAAAAAAACGCTGCTTCTTACACATCAACTGAATTTTCTGTAATTTCACTTTATGCTTGCTGTCTCGCCCTTTCACTAGGCACCACTGAGAAGGGCCTGGATCCATCTTCTTTAACCCACTATCAAATACTTATACACATCATTAAGATACAACCTTTACTCTGGGGAGTATTTACAACAGTTTTAATAGTTTTGTTTGCTTTGCCTAAAACAAGAGAGATTTCACTCTGTGAAATTAAAGGTAACTTTTTAAAAAGACACAAATCTGGTAACTTGTAGAACTTGCTGAGCTCAAGAGTATGCTGACATTCAAAACACATAACGTTTTTATGAATTAAATCACTGCTGTGTTGTGTGATTAACCACAACAGTGAAGAGTACTAAATCCTAGCAGGTTAAGCCATAAAGCATCAAAGAGTTAATTAATAAAAAGGATGGAACTTCCATTATGAGGAAGGGTATTTCCCTTCAAAAAATCTCCTAACAATCATCATTGAAAATATACCACTAAGCAAGCGGACTACCAGTCTGCGTAACAGCTTCTAAAGAGATTTATTTCCCCTGTATTTGACTAGACGACTTTGTTGCTGCTTTACCTGTCTTCCATTTATGTACTTTGGTGCCACCATGAGGTGCTTGGCCTATTACCATTTTAAAATGGAGAGTTCTAAAAAGAATAAATAAATACACAAACGAACAAAACCCAAAGTATATTTCCCGGCTACCACGAAAGTTAGGCTAGGTTTAGTGAGAACAACAGTAAGTGTACTGGAATGCTGCACCCCAGGTAAAATCAACTGGAATAGAGTTTTACTTGTTGGAGGCCAACAATGTAGTTCTTTAATGTGCCTGTATAAAATGAAGCACTACAAACCATGATAATTCATACAAACTAGCGGAAAATTACTGATATTCACTAGTCCACCAAAGATATTTCACAATTGAGGAAAACAGAAAACGTCCCATACAAAACTGCTCTCTAATGATCTTAGTATTTTTAAGCTGACTCCCTAATGATCTCAGTATTTTTAAGCTGTTATGTACATTTTCAAAGGAGTCACAAAGAATTAGGAAAATAAAACCCAGCTCTTTTTTGAGACATAAAAAGGAAAAGAAAAAACATTAAGAAAAATAAAACCAAATTACACTGATGTATTTTAAAAATTTTGACTGTATATTTAAGATATTGAGGAGACAGATAAGCTCCTTTAGATGCTATCTTTTTTTTTAGTAATTATGTCTAAGAGGTTCACCACAAGTTATTTTTTACATTTTGATTCTGTAATTTCTTACTTACTGACACCAATGATAAAATCTTACTCGTACCAGTAAGATGGTCGATAAGTAATAAATCTTGTAAGACCTGAGGAGGACAGGTTCAGGCATTTGTCTTTGCTTACTTGTTTCAGTGTTTTTGTTTGCTTCCAAGTGATTTAAAGAACCACGTAAGTCTCGGTTTCATACAGCCAATTCCAAAATCTTATTACACGACAGCATGATTGGCTTGCTTTGCACAGTTCTTGGAAGTATTACAGACTCATAATTTCTTTGTTAAATGGTTTGAAAACACACCTTCAAGGCCAGGTTGGATGAGGCTTTGGGCAACCTGGTGTAGTGAAGGGTTTCCCTGCCCATGGCAGGGCGTTTGGAACTAGATGATCTTTGAGGTCCCTTCCAACCTGAACCATTCTAGGATTCTAGGATTCTACTTTGCCCACCACTGGAGAAGTATTTTTGGTTGCAAATATTATGAGTATCGTTGCTCCATTTAAGATTACATCATCTTTAAACAGACATGCCCCTGTTGCATAAAACTTGCAGAAAGTAATATATCATAGATGGCTTTTGACTTTAAGAATACATACAAAATCTGCATTTGCTTACAGGTCTCCGATGCTTGGGATAAAAACGTCTCAGAATTTCCCTGTTCTAATGCTCTACGTTCGTACAGACTAATTCTTGCTCTTTTGCTGATGTCTGTTCTCTTAAAAAGTCTACTAGTTCAAAATTCTACCACTTTTTTTTTAAAAAGAACTTCAAAAGACCTTAAGAGGAAGGAATTTCTGAATGTTTTTTTGATCCATCGATCCCTGAAATTTACTCCCTTTCAGTATATAAATGAACAAAGGAGATGTCATATTGCATTTAAAAAGTGTACACACTTACAATTTGTTCTTTTCTTCAATAAATCTCTTTACCTTTTCATCCCCTTGTTCAGGAACATGCAAAAACCAACATTTTGCTCTTTCACAGCCACGCAAAGTCATGAAATAAAATTTGCAATATTTGCGGGGCAATTCCATCATCTCGAGGATGGGCTGGACTGAATGAGAAGCCTAAAATAAAATAAAATAAAAACACGCAGAAAAAAATCCAACAGACAATATTTTTTGAAAGCAAACATTCATTTTTTTGAGAATTTCAAAGTAGCGACAAATTACAAACAAAAGCAAAAAAATGTGATCTACAATTAAGCCTTTGAAACAATCCTCATCTCTATTTGCAGCATTTCAAAGCAGACCAAGATCAATCCCTTGTCATGTCGTGTTACACACTAACACAACAAAAGTCTGTCTCGAAGATCACAGACAGACAGAATGCAAGAACGGCTAAATGAGATGGACAGTGAGTAGAGAGGAGGAAGACAGGTGACAAACTCCTGCATGGCTCCAGATAACAACCTGAGAATTCTGGGGCATTGATTTTCTTTACCCTTTTTCAGTGCCCAGCATAATGGATAATGCAATCTGTCTTAAGCATGTGAAACCTTGTCCGCTTTTCAGTTCTACAAAAACAATAAAGCAAAAAGCATTATTTCATTTTGCTTAAGCTGGAAAAAGAAATCAACAAAGCTCCACTGTGAATAGCTGTCCCCTCATCATTGATTTTGCTCTCAGAAATTGTATTTACTCGATGATAACATCTTTAGAGGAGTCGAAACATAAGCATACATAGATTCATAATTTCTGACTCGATATAGGAGAATTGTCTGAATATCCATACCAAAATCAGCGCCACAGGATTTGAAATCATTAATGATTTAACAACTCACAGTTGCATTTTTTTCCGTCTTCCATGGCGCAAAATCTCCACAATTTTGCAACGGCAGTACAGGACTTTTTCCTGAAAATCTGTAATCTAAATATTAGGATAAAGGCAATAAATGGATCAGGTAATAATAAAATGAATCATACCAAAACTACTCTCATTTATCTTATTTTCCTTTGTACTTAAGAGTTCCTTCAAGTCATAGCAATGATTAATGAAAATTTGATTAATATAATCTAAAGCCAGTAATTTAAGTTAGTATTCTTAATTATCCTAAAACTGAGACATTACACAAACTTCAAGAGTAAGCACATTTAAATTAAAAACTTCACTACTTTATCCAAGGTTTCTAACTAACAGAGATAAGAAAAGAAATGGAATAAAAATATCCAGAAGTTTTAATTTCAAAAGGAAAAAAGCACCACACCACTTTATCAGTAATCTTTGCATTCCCACATCACTACCCACAAATTTAAACTTTTTCCAGAACTGAAATAAAACCCTTCATACTGTATGTTTTAAGCAGTGCAATACCAAGCTTAAGCCCAATGTCAGTTACTGGTTTCTTAACCGTGAAACTTGGTTTTAGAACTTTAATTGTTATTGATAACAGATTTCTTTCTCTGAAAAAATGAATAATGTTAATGGAAGATAAAAGTTCAAATTTTCAACTCCATATCTGAAGAGAAATAAGAGCTTCTGAATGTCTTCACTTCTAGAGTTCCCATCTAGCCCCTTGAAAGAACTGAGTATTGAAAAGAAAGGATGCTCAGCCCTTTCTTACAAACTATAGTTACTAAAGAGCATCCAATAACGATACATCTTCTACTAGAGACTTGCACTAGTGGTTCTTAATCTGCATGTCTTGTGAAATAGACTGGACTATCACAGGATAGGAAGGACAAATATAACACAGAACAATTAAATATCTAAATGTTACGTACTGTCACAGCTGCGTATTTTATGCAGTGATGGTGGGCAATTTGGTAAATTCAGGATTGGATAAATTTAGTGACAGGAAAAAGACTGAGAAAGTGGAAAAATCCACTAGCGGCAGAAATACGCCACTGAGAACTTGTGCTTAGAAGTCTTTCCTCCAGATTCTTGCCATCCCCACAGCATGGAGTTTCTGACCAGGTCCTTTCAACAGTTTTTGCTCTCCGTGCCGACTGTATGTCAAATTTATAGGGGAGCAGGCAGTAAAGTGAAATAGCCAATCCTGTCTGCACAGTTCTGGGGAAAAAAAGGCTGTTTTGCCTTCTCCTAGCAGAGAAACTCTTTCTTTGGCAGATGATTTGAAGAAGGAAGATTTGGAAGAACTCTTCAGAAGGTGTATACACTTTTAAGGCCAAAACCACATGCAATTTCAAACAACTGTAGTCTCGAGACATATTTTACTGTTGTTTTTTACAGCATCTATGTTTCTTGCACTTTCGGAAAATACTGTTGAATGACATGATGGTAAAATCGTTCTACAAGCTCAGACTGGCAGTTAATTTGAATCGAAACCAAGAACCTCTGCCACTGACCTCAATTCAGGAAATCCATGTTTATAAACATCGATATTCAACAATAATTCTAAAAATATTAATTCCCAAAACAGCTGTTGCAAAGAAACAATGCAATATCTATCCATCAGTAATCAATTCCTGTTTATCTTGAACACCAAATAAAACTATGCATTTATATAAGGCTAAATGTCAAGAGTTGTCATGTGCAGAGAAAAAGAGAAGGAAACTTTGACTACAGTTCCATTATGTCATGAGACACTTAATAGCGACCTGTCCCAGTTGTGAAATACACCAGGTCAAAACGAAGTGCTGCTTACTACATCTAGATCATTTCCTTGATCCAGTCTAGTCAAGGCCTCACAAACATTTCAATTGGCATAAACAACAAAGTTCTACATTTGGCAACGTGAGCAAATCCCCGAGCAAATCCCTTAGCCGAGTTTTGCCAAAAGGCAACAACCAACCAAGAAAACCTGCACTCATGTTCTCTGACCACAAATAAAGAAAAACAAGTTACTTACCTATAACAGGGCTCAAACACAATGTGTCACAACACTAAGAATGCAGGCATTGCTGTACCATTAAAGTATCTGAGAATCATAAACACCAACATAGAATGATTGCTATTTGACCCTACCAAACAGGATTCTGCTATAAAACTCGACCCAAAAAACTGCACTAACCTATCACAAGAGCTTACATTTCTGCTTGTATGCATGCTAACTAAAATAAATTCCAGCCAATGCCTTCAGGAATTGAAGAAATTCCTTAAGATCTTATAGGTAAATAAAACACATGTCAAAACAAATTCTGGAGGGTTCACGAATACAGCATACGATACCATTTGTCTGGGGTTTCATCACTGTAACTTCACTGAAGACGTTTACTTTCGGGGCATCCAACGGTAATCCTGATAGAAATTCACAGTTCACAAGATCTCCGTAGTTACAGTCACTGTTGAGTATTAAAACCCAAAAATTTGTTTAACCAAATTAAACAGGTACTTCTTTGATATACTAAATGCCTAAAAAGGGAGATTAAGTGTATAAAAGATGAGAATTTCTTCAACAATTTAAACAATATACTTAAAAACTTGCTGTAAATTTAAGTACCTAGCAGTCCCAATGACTTTACTTTCATTACTCTCATTGCCTGGTCCAATCTGGTTATCATCTTAGCTGTTCTGTCCTAAAGTGTAACTATATGATATTCAATAAATAAGTAGAAATGCACTCGTGAACCACTTTTTTTTTTTCACTATGCTGACAAGAAGAATGAGATTATTTCTGTCACCTCTGAAGAAGCATCTACTTTTCAGTAGTCTGTTATGTAATATCTGCCACAGAAGTAATCCACCAAGCTTTTGAAATTACATTTGAAGAGCCAACTGTTTTGTTTCCTAATAAGTGACTCCACTCAGCAGAAAATTAAAGTGATTTCAAAAGGATCTCCAATTAAAAATTGTTCTGCCTTTAACTATTCCCAAATATGTAAATTCCAGATAATTAAACTACTAAAATGTGATGTTTTCCAAAATAAGCTACAAATATTGCTGGCAAAATACTTAAGTGATCTCTTTCTTATTTGCAAATAAGAAAAAAATAATCCCCTTTTATCAGATCTCCCTCCTCTTCCCCCTTCAATTAAGAACCTAGGTTCGGTACAAAGGACATTTCAGTCTGCTTGCTGTTTGGAGACACAAACAAACTTGCTATGCCCTATGAGGGGCACATTCTAGCTATCTAATACTTCTCATAGCCAGGATAATGAAAATCTTTCCTAAATTGCAGGCTGCTTTTAATACACTCTGAAATAAAAATGCTATGGCAGAGAAGAATAAAGTCTATTTAATAAAACTAAATTCTTCAATACAAATCTTTGTTTTTATTCTAGTCAATATATTGTATTGTTCTCCAGAGGAAAAAAATCTGCTGATCTAGTTATTCGGAATTTTCAAGTTACCATGTAAATTTTTTTTTTATGCTTCCTTGCGATGCCAGCTTCAGATCTGACACAACAGGATTTTCATAGCATCTTACCTTTGGGACAACAATTTCAGCTCTCTTTTTAACCCAGACATGAAACTACACACAATTTTGCTCGGAACTGTGAACTATACAGCTCTACAATCAATTTCTTTTCTTCAGTAACAGCATCACTAAAAGCAGAGTTTGCTAAATAAGAACAGTAACTATGTTTTCTTCTAGGTGAAACTTTGCAATATTAATGTTTTTGAGTAAAACTAGAGAAAACAGTGAGACTCCAAACGAAGGAATAAATGCCTCTTGTCTAACCACAGTGTGTGCTGCATTTCAACTAAGGAAGTGAATTAACGCAGTATCACTTGCACAAACATCTTATATCCAGCATAATCTACTCACTCTATAGCATCAAGAACTATTTATGCTACTAAGGCAAATTTAAATGGGTATTTTATCAGAAGGAGGAACCTGGAGCTCTCTAGTGGATTAATGAAAAGATGCAATACTCTCCATTTAACAGACTTTTGGTACGCTTCAAGTCTGTCACAGAAACGTGACGTGCTGGAAAAATGCAATACCCTCTTCTATGCCACTTAAGGTTTCTTGATTATTGTGAAAACAACTCTGAAATATTTGTTATTTCTCTTTTAATTACTTAAGTATTCTATCAGTAATGTATACTTTTTCTACGAAGTCTTATTCTGCTTCAATTTTGGGCTGATGTTGAATGAAAGTTCCTTAGTTTGACACTTTTAAGTCACATGTACAATAAACACTGTAAGCACAGCTTGAAGCTAGCAGAACAGTAAAGCACATGCTTAACTGCACGTCATGTTTTTAAGCACCTTTTTCTACTGTTGTTGAAATATTTGTCAGCCTGAATCTGAATGAGATCTTTCAATTGTTTCATCAGTTTAAAAAGTCTCAAGAGACAGAAAAGAAATCTGAAAGTTTTACCGATTTTCTTTTTTTTTAAAGTTCTGGTAAGCACTATTGTGGCTGGAAGAGTATCTTATGCCATACTCACATTGAGATGCCAATGTGAGACACTGGTATAAAGTGGATCTATTTCATCACCAGCCAGAGGACAAAATTACCTCTATTGTCCTGTCAAGCTATGACTATACTTGTCTTGTACTTTGCACAATGAAATACAGTATTTCACATATTTATTTTATCACAGTCACAATAACATAGAAAAATTAAAATACTGATGGTGTTTTGGTAAAAACATCACATATCATTTGTACAGTAACTGAGGAACATCACAGGTTACATGAAGGATACAGTATATATACCTTTTTTCAGCTTCACTCTTTATTTCTTGTTTAACATCAGGAACTCCATCTGCAAACTTGAACTATGAAGATATTTAAAACGTACTCTCAGATACAGCAAAGCACTACTAAGCCTGTTACACTTTACACTACAGACTTAAAACCATTAGTGATCGCTGGAAGGTGTGATAACACAGTCTTGACTGTAAGAACTGTAATTGGGACTGTACGGTTACTCTTGCACCATCTTTTTAAATGGACACACTGCCATTATACTCTGTGATCTTTAAAATAGTGATTTTTAATTGGAAAAAAGGCGACATGATTGTCTTCACTTTTCTCTGCTCTCACTGATAACCCCACTGCCCGATTTTAACTGCACCTGGCAGATGTGCAGAAACCTACAAAAGTCATTCCATCGAGTTTAATGAAAATTCAAAGCTGTACTGAGGAGAAATCTAAGGCTTTTTCTCAGCTGTGTACCGTGGTGTATAGGTAAAAAAATCCCCAAAGATATGAAAGAAAAAAGACAACACTTAACATATCGATGGGTGAGAATCTGAAAGGACTGATATAGAACAAAGTCATGGAATCTTGGCTTTGCTTTATCCATTATTCATGAAGTAACTTGAACTTCACATTTTATCACATGTTTATGACAGTCAAAGAATTAGAGATGGATATGGTCTCATTGGGTCTCCAAACTTCATTTTATCAGTTGCTCAAATATCTTGAGTTTTCTCCATAGTTATTGTCCTTCTCACAGCATTATTAGTTGGAAAATTCATAAAAAAAACCCCAAATCACCCCAAACAGCGGAATACTTGTGACAAGTGTTCTACCACTCCACTCCCTGCTCAGGTCTGCATCCACATACAGGAATAGGTTAAGGGCTGCAGCATGTATTCTGTGGCTTAAGTTTGGTTAAGTTTGAGGTTGGAGTGAGATTAGTTGTACATATTTACTGTTGTCCAACACAGCACAGAAAAAAAACATTAGGACATTGATTTTATAAAGCCACAACACTACGAAGCAGCCCAACTGAGACAGACTTGGCAACACTGAGACAAGTACTACACATCCAGTAACCTTCACTATTTGACAGACTCTTCTATCCTCTCTAAGAGGTCAGGCAACCAAACAGCGCTGCTCACTTCATGAATCAGATGTTAGTAGCCTCAATTCCATTTGCTGAAGTAAACGTTTCTATTCTGCTTTTAAATAATGATTTTGTCAGAGAAACTGATTCCCTACTGTTTGATTACCTTATCAATTACTCATCAAATTTTTGCCATGTGAATTTTACTGTTTAGCCATAAAAAATATGTCACAGTTAAAACCATTATCCACTCTTGAAGCAGACGAAAATAGTAAATACTATCAGCAGCTATGTCTGAGTGGCAGCGAGATGTAAATTCCAATCCATTATCCAAGAAGTAAATAGTATAGAACTTCAGCAAGTCTTAAAAGACCTAGACTTATTATATAGAGGAAGGAGGACAGAGAGAATAGAAAGGTCAGATAAAGTCAGTGAGCAAGAAAATGGTTTATTGTTCTCTCTGAACTGCCAGGAAGTCAGTATGTTAATGCAAAACGTCAAAATAATGAGCCACAGAATGATCCTCCTCAGATGCTTGGTGGCTGTGCAGCTCCTCAGCTTTCCAACACCACCCCATGCTTCTCAGAGTGTGTAATGAGAAACATTTAACATCAACTTTTAAAATGAGATACGTTACGTAAAAATGTCACACATGCACAGTAGTATTCTTAGGTGCTCACTGGAACAGTAATTTTCATGCAATTGGTAATACAGAATTACTCTAACAACTGATATAACAATATCTTGTTTCATTTCAAATTTAATTTTTACATTTACATTTACATTAGTGATGGGTGATAGGACAAGAGGAAATGAATATAAGCTTAGTCAGGGGAGATTCAGGTCGGATGTTAGAAAGAATTTCTTCTCTGAAAGGGTTGTCAGCCACTGGAATAGGCTGCCCAGGGAGGTGGTTGAGTCCCCATCCCTGGATGTGTTTAAGAAAAGGGTGGATGAACTACTTAAGGATATGGTTTAATGGGAGATTAGGGACGGTTGGACTGGATGATCTCTACGGTCTTTTCCAACCTAGAAATCTATGAAATCTAATGATGAATTATTAGTGACAAGTTAAAAAAACATGTTCTGTCAAGCAAAACTTAAATTGCCAATAGCACAGCAATCTATCAAACACCAACATTCTTTTTACTGCAGGAAATTAAAAAATTTGTTGATAAAACAGCATTAGTAATTAAAATTACTCAATTAATGGACTACAATTTCTTGAACTATTTAGTGACGGAAAACATAATTTCTCACTACCTTTTCATGCATGTTGTAACTCTTTAGAAGTTCATCTAGTTCTCTGAGCTGCTCATCTTCAAGAAAGCCCTCAGTAACACCTCCCAAAGGACTGCTTCCTCTGGAGGAGTTGCGGGTTTTAATATCTGTAGCTGAAAACGTATAAACACATTACTTTGCATGCTTCCCATGCTGCAAGACAACAAAGCTTTTATTTTCTAAATATTACAAAGCTTTAACAGTAATGACATTTAAGAACTCCTAGGACTTCCTAAATGTGAAATTTATATGTAAAATTATTTCACCTTTAAAGCACGAACCATTTCAAATAAATATTAAACTGAATCTGCAATTAAAATTCTATCCAAGCTTTACATTCTGTAATAGTCTCTGTAGAACAGTACAACAGGTTTATTTATATAATATTGAATTCAGTATTTTAGAAATAAATTTGGTTAAGCTTTCATATTAAAACACAGCTGAAGCTATGTGTGGTGATCTGCTAAGCAAATAAAGACTTAGTCTTTGCTAGAGAAGGGCATAAGCTAATCATAATGACATGATGCAAACCTGGACTAAATATAGACAGCTCTGAGAAACTCCGAATTCCTGTAATACAGTAAACTCCATGAGAATTCAGTGTCGGGAAATTTCAGCACCTTTTGCAGATGCCACAGGAAATCAACAGAGCACCAGATTATTATTGGAAAGACTTTTATCTTATAGTCACTGGTCTCTGTATGATCCTCAGTACAAGACACATCTGCATGAAGACAAGGTACGCAAGATTTCCACTTGAAAGATGAAGAGGATTGATGTCATCCAGAATACCTTAACTGTAGTACTTGTTGCCCTTCTTGGACTGTGAAGCCACTGAGACAAGCAGCCATGACCTCACTACATAACACAAGACACCAAGGCAGTAACACACATTTCTAAATAAATAGTCAGTAATTACCAAAACCAGGCACCTTTCTTCTGTTCTGTACAGGTCCTTTTAAAAAGTCAAACATCAAACAAAAGTTACCAGGTGCATATTAATCCAAGAATGTGATGTGATCCTAAGTTTTTCAGATCTGGGAAGAAGGACCTACTTAAAACTTTATTTTAAGCATCACAAAAAGACCCAAAGACTTTCAGCCTCAAACTTCGTTAGAACACGAAGTAAAACAACAGATAGTCTAAGAAAATGCAGAAGTTACTAGACAGTACAGGACTTGCTCCCAGGTTTGGTTTCAATCACCTCAGATGCCATGGCACTGGCTCTTTACATCACCAGAGGCCTAACTGTGCACTTCCTCCCAACTCTACCTTGGGAAACTTGTGTTTAGTTCTGGGTGTCTGAGCTCCTACACCTTCGTTACCTTTTATTTTGCCTTACAGTCACTGAAGCCTGAAACTTCCTCTCCCTCAGATAGTCACTATTCACTCCTTCTTCTCCAAGAGGCGACATCTGCCCAAACCACTCACTCCTTCTACACGAACATAACACGTTAATATAAAGAAACAGCACAAGGTACTGTCACAGACACTTTTCAAGCCTGCAGCAAAATCAACACGCAATGGCAGAGTGCCAGATTAACGGCAAGTTGACACACCGACACCACAAAGCGAAACACTGAGAACCTTCAAAACCAGTCTCAGAACTCTATACCTTCTCCGGTGTGTGAGTAATGGGCTTCTGTTCAAAGTCAAAATCCTGCTCCTCCAATCTAAGAGAAACTTCCACAACAGAAATACCTTGCGTAGTAGGTCTGTATGCAAGCCATAGTAAACAAAACAAATCACATTCAGATGCTGCCTAGTTGGACTGTTTGTTCTGCTTACAATAGGAAGAAAAAAAATTAAGTCAGAAGTATTCTTCTCTAAAAAAATTTAAACATCCTTAAAAAATAGAACAGTTTGTCAGAGAAATGGGCATAGCATCTGCAAAAAACAACAGTACAAACTGGAAAACAACCTGTGATAAAATTCTGTCTGCTGATGAACATGAGAGGACAACCAAGTAAGATTATGAGTCAGACTCCAAAGCAGTATCACAGTACTGGGTGTCTTACTGTCATCTCATCAGCTAAAGAATTCCTTGCCTAAACTATCACAGACATGTCAAAAAACCTACAAAACAAAACAAAAAAAAACACCCCACGCAGTACTACCAACAAACAAGTACTACAGAGAAGTGGATGTTCCCTATAAGGCTTAGGTTTGTACCACTTCAAAATACATTCATTTTATACACATTAAGAAACAAATTTCTTTTACAATAAAAAGATACTACTGAACTGACAAGTTCTCATTTTATGCGGAAAGTAGAAATCCTAGGTTTTGCCACTGAACATCTTTGTGGTTACTTTCTTCTCTCGATTACGTGTTCAAAAATCTCCAAAGACTCTTACCTTTTAGCATCCAATCACAGGAATTTTCAGTATCTTTCGACATTCCGGATTCTTGTATGTTAATATGTCTGTTTTGAACAAAAAGTGTATTTAAGACTTTCATCTTGCACAAAAGCGGAATTAATCTAACCAGTTACGTAAAATTAAAGTTCTCAGTAATACTTTTAGCTATGGACAGAATCCTTACAACACACTGTTGTAAGACTGTTCTTAACTCTCTCTCGGCTTTCTCATGTCCATACCTACACATACACACCTAAACACATTAAGTAAAATCAAGACATTGCAAAACCCAGAATTTGTCAGTAAAAGCTCATCTCATTTCACCTTTGCCTGAAATACTGAGAAAGGCAATCTTCTCTGTGCAGCAAATTATGGGAATACTAATTCTATGCTAATGAGCCAATTCATCAGTTTCTACAAAATGTGATTTACAGTAATTTTATATTCAAGACAATTTGCATAACAATGACTGTCAAAGGCAGTAACAAAAACATTTGTTCATAGAAAGATACTTATTTCATCTATTTCAAAGCTAAGTTGGGGAAAAAAAAAGTATTTCTCCTTAGAAAAGCTCAGAAAGTAAAAATATATATTCAAATATGATACACAGAATATACAAAACAACGTCGTCATCACAGATTTTGGAAACTCGTACCTGGTGAATGACACCAAGTATAATGACAGCAAGTATTAAGTTATTTATTAAGAATATTACTCTTAATAATTATCTTTGTTCATACTTTCATATTTCACTTCATGTGGTTTAAACAAATTCTTTAGGATTACATTTTCCTTCGATTTATAATTTATCCCAGTTCTTATGAAGAACAAATTAATTCATTTGCATTCAAATACTCTCATACCTCAATCAAATTCTGACACTTAAATCAAACCAGAAATTAGTGGTCTTCTACAAGGAAGCCTGACCGCTACAACCAAACTATACTGATATGAGAAAAAAAAGTATTTAGGATTATTTTAATAAAAAGAATGATATACATACCTAAAATTACTATCTACTGAATCTCTATTTTCTGAGATGACAGGATCCTCAAGCTTAAGATTCTGCTTTTCATCTTTAATGCAGATACTAGTATAGGATGCCTTGACAGGACAATTTTCACAGTCTGCAAGCGCAAGCTGTGGCTCATTACTGGTTCCAAAAAGGTCGGGGTCATCCTGAATCACATCAATGACAAGAACATCTTCTTTGTAAGCTTCAAGGATATCTGGAAAATTTTGACTTCTGTGTTGTGAAAGATTCCCTCTTGATTTCCTATCGTCATTTATTTCTAATGCAACAGGGTGGTCCACTGCATTCCAAGAATGATCAGGAAAATTAGATTTTAGTACACGTTCAGTACCACAGGAATCAGGCACAGATGACTCTAGCTGCCCGTCTAGAAAAGGATATGGATATAAAGAAAAACATTCAGGGAGCGCAGACATCTCATTTGAAACGTTTTCAGGGCTATCGTGCTTAAAGTCCTGACTGTTGATCTCATCTGCTTTTTTCTTCATGGAAGCTGCAGATGTAGCATCTCTTGTGACAGGAAGAGGCTGCTGCTCAGAATCTACTAAACTAGTTTCTTCACCTGTTTTCTGCCTTCTTGAAACACTAGTGCTGTCGAGAAGCTTTAGTGGACTACAGGTTTTGCTTTCAAATGAATGGACAGATTTCAATTTCCCGGCTTCAGGTTTGTTTCTGCATAAAGGAATTTTGAATTTTGTCAGGTTTCCAGTGTTTAATACTTTCATTATCTTTAAATCAGAAGACGTCTGGTTCACTACTGATACTTTACGGCTGAAGTTTCTTTTTTTGTTACCTGTGGATGTACCATTCTGGATTGTCACAGACAGGTTTGTTTTTGTTACAGCTCCTTTATTTTCGTATTTTTGTTTTGTTCTACAATTTAAGGTTGCTTTAACTTCTTGCACTTCATCACGGCTAAAAGCCATGACACTTCTATCCATATTAACTGGCGATTCCACATTTCCATTGCTTGTTCTCAAAGTCTCATAAATGTCCACAGAAGAGGATTCTGGTGTTTCAAGTGAAGTCAGACATTTAGTATTTGGATCCATTACCTTACGTGTAGCTTCTTTGTCAACATCCACTGATGACGTATGCAAATCCAGCTGTCTCAAATTTCCAGTCACAGCATCGTTTCCTACAGCTTTAACACTGTTTTTATCATAGCATTCCTCAAAGGCAGTTCTCAAAAGTCCTTTTCCTTCTGAGATGGACCCATGACTTTTAGGAACCCATTCAGAAGTCCTGGCACAAGATTCAAAAGGCCAAACATGTCTACCAGTCATAGGTACTGTTCTTTGACAGGTAAACTGCTGCAATTTCTTAGTAACTTTGTTCAATTTTTCATCTGTCTTGCTTTTGTGACAGTGAGAAACATCATGGACTTGAGCTAGCACTCTCAGGCTATCTGAGGCAGCAGAATGATGTGCCACACTGTCTGAATTTTCTCCTTTTGCTACTACAGAGAGCTCGGATGTCTTCTTAAATCCATCTTCAAATTCAAGTACTTCGGTACTAATCTGTCTCCAGACTGATATATTTTGTGCTTCATGAGTATTTTTTCCTATATGAAGATTTGATGTATGATCACATGAAGACGATGGAGTAATTTCTTTATGAGTTAGCCCTAAGACTGCAGGGGAGCTTGACATGGCAACTGCTGCTTCTGCTTGTAACGCACACTCACTGCATTCATTACCCATGTCCATGGAAACATTCTGCACTGCTGATTTCTCAGTGATTTCCTTCTTTTTTCTAGGCTTTCTACCAACATTCCACTTTTTTCCCCTTGAACACCCATTCTTTTCACTCCGACAGCATGAAAAACACTTTTCTCCATTTTGAGTTTTTTCTTTATTAAACAATAAACCACCTTGTATGGGTGATCTCTCATTTTGTATTCTACTAGTGCTGCAATTCATATCACTCTGTTCTACAGCACCATCATGAAAAACACACTTTCTTTTATCATGGGCTATATGGAAGAATCCATTTAATTTGTAACTGTTGGTAGTTCCACTAGCTGAAGACTTCACAAACATTCTGATGTAACTACAGGCCTCTAGTCTCACAAACGGATTCTTTTCTGTTGCACAGAGCAAGCCGTTACAATGGTTGAGGGTGTTTCTGCAATGTTCCACATTACGTTTTCCAGACACATTTCTCATTTTTTCAGCTGTATTCGCGCTAAAACTTTGCAAGCACTTCATCTGATCAATTCTGAGTTTCCTTTTATTACACTGCACACCAGACTTTTTTGTTACAGGCTGGCATAGAAAGCTCTTGCTTTGAGTCCCACCTGATGTAGCAACTGTAGGAGATTTAGAGTAGTGAGATTCCTCTTCCTTGGAATGTTCTGATCTGTTTTGATTTGTCTTAAGCTTCTTCACAGCCTGTGAACCAGAGTCTTGCTCAATTGCTTTCCATTTTTCCTCTGCTGATTAAAACCAAAGAAGTATCACTAAAGAATAAGCTAAGGAAAAAAGACTAACCTATTGTAATATTTTACAAAGGGAACAAAAAACATTCAAGGCTACTAAAGAACATGACACTGTGTAAGACCAACATTTCTGTAAAGTTTTAGCTTTTTTTTTTATATAAAATGAGCGCTATTAACAGACTTATAGTAACAAATGATGTTTTGTCTTTGGAAAATGCGAAGATGAGCAAAACTTCAAGGTATTAAAAGGACATTGGAAGTTTTATATTTAAAACAGGTGGAAACCAAATTAGAGCAAGTCTGGCAAGAAAATGGACATGCTGTTCGCACACGTAGCCTTAAAATCTTTTGTTTACACAGCAGATTCTCTGATAGGAAAGCTTGCTTATAACAATACAGTGATTACTTCATACACAAATAGCCCAGCCAAACGCATCCAACTGTTCAAGAAGATCCAGAAATACTGCAGGACTTGCATTTTTATAAAGCACTACTTTTTATTTAAGAGTAAATACAGATTACGTAAAAAACTGTACATCTGAAAATTTCGTCTGGAGAACAGATTCAAGAATGTACTAATAGAATGCTGGTTTTCTACATCTCAGTTTTCAAAGGAAGTAAGATGCAATTTTAATACCTGTTTTTCAGAATACGGTTTCTAGATATAATATTTATTAATAATAACCCACAGCAAATATTTGTCATTTACCCACTTTGAAAGTAAAAAGAATGTCTTTCAGGCAATTGTCTGAGACTTAAAAATCCTCTTCAAAATTGTTCCAGTTGGATAAAACACTCTCTTAAAATGCCAAAATACAACCTTTGCTTCCACATCTTTTAGGATTTTGCAGAGAATAACAACTAAAAAGGCAAAAAGTTCTGAAAATAAAACCCAGCATCCTATAAAGGCAAGCACTAAAACAAGACAGCATGATACATGCTCAAAAATAAGTAATACACAGATGAAGAACTGACTATTTTATTTTGGCTTTGCTGAAACTACTGTCTCCTTTCCTGCTTTTGTCTGAGCTTCTACACATAAATGAACCCACCGTTTTTGAGGGAGAGGAAAAAAAAAAAACTTCTTATTCCAGTGCAGTTGCTGCTGATACCCCTTCTTACCCCCACCCCTCAAAAGGGCATATGGTCTCCTCTCCTTTGTGTGAAATAACTGCTCTTCTCCTTCAAGGAAACCCCTAAAAATCTGGGGTTTTTTTCCAAGACTGTTGTCACAGTATTGTAAAGCAGACCCTAACTCTTATCTCTATACTTCTTCAGGTAATTAAGCAGCCAT